TGATTATTATTTTTATAAATATTAAAAATAATTAGGTAAAAAAATCAAATTTAAGGATATATTCAAGGAATACAAAGTTTGAAGATTAATTTTAAAACTTTCCAAAAAACAAGGGAGCGTGACCCTCCTTAGTAATCAATCTCTAGGTCCTAAATCAGTTAACATGATGCCTTACCTACATTTGAAAGATTGAAAGTTTGTGATACTATTTGTGACTCATACATGTGTCCCGAAGTATGAATCAGTTAATCCAAAATCCAATAATAAGACATGATTGTTAGAATATTGTTTTTGTGCGTGAATGTGATCGACCTGATGTTAGTTGGTATCTTTCTCATTCACCCACGCCTATCGAAAGCGATCTCCTCCCACTCAGGACTTTTGTCAAACAGATGGAGTGCAACCAGATGCAGTGCACCACCCAAGACCCTTGAAATCAAAACCCTCAAAAGTTCAGCTGCTACTTTTGCCAGACAGATGGAGTGCAACCAGGAATAGGAGACGTGCAGCACCCAAAACCCTTAAAATCAAAACCCTCAAAAGTTCAAATGCATGCTGCTACGCCATATTGCTGCCAGTTCAATCATAACTAGTAGTACTCTTTTAAATAATAGCCGCAAACATTGACGTTGGCAGCCGAAAGCACCGGCCCCAGGAAAACCTGTCCCTCCACATGGACCCAAACCTAACCCTGCGACTATTCGGACGTCTAAAAGCTTTCCTAATAATAATAATGGAGCTGCTGTTGAGTCGTACGTAGGGAAAAGCGCCACCGCACAGGTCACCTTTTTGTCTGTTTCTCAGCTCCTTCCTCTTCCTCTCCCTGTCTATAATTACTTTACTTTCTTTTCCTGGGCTTCGCACAATCTGCCGTGGCCCACCGGCGTTCGCTTTCCTGCAGCAATTTGGACGGAGGCGCACCGGAGCATTCTGCATGCGCGCAATGCATCCGGCCATCGCTTAAAAGTCATAATCAAGAAGATATTAGAAAATTTGGATAAATGGCCCCAAGGGCATACACCTATGATGGGAAATCTTAGAAAGCAATTGGGAGAATGAAATCAATCACTTGAAGTTTGAGTATATTGAGGTTGAATAATGTAATTGATAAGTTTTCTTCTTTCCAATAGAAATTTTCTTGCAAAAATGCGACATGTAAAATGTTTTTAACATGGTATGCGGACAATATTTTTAAACAACTTTCATATTTCGTTAAATTACTAAAAGTGTATAATGGATTAGAGTAAAAAGCATAAATTATTAAATAATATATAAAATTATATAAGAAATTATATAAAAAATTGTTTATTAATTATTCTTTGTATTTTTAAATACAATGAATGATTTGTATAAAGATAATAATTAATACATTTTTTAATTTAATACATCTTATAATACTTATTAAAAAAATTATTATTTTTAAATTTAAATTAAAGGTAAAAAAATTAAGTTATAAATTTTAAAAGATCAACCGGTGAATGTTGATGAATGTGTTAAATTAGAGGATATAATTAATAATAATTTTTCTTAGTATAATACAACATAATATTTTATGATGGATTGTTTTAATTCAAGTTTACAAATAAATCAATATAGAACATTAATTGGTATACCTTTGATTTAATACATTGTACAATATATTTATTAAAAAATTATTATTTTGTGATTTATAATTAAATATAAACAAATTTAAAAATACAATTATACATACAAAAATTAATTAAATCAACTATACAATATTATATTTTAATAGTTAAACTATAAATATATTAAAATGAATGTTGAACTAAATAATATATTAATTATTTTTCATTAATATATGTATTTATTTAATATTATGTAATATTAATATGTATCTATTTATTTAACATTATATCATATTATATAAACAATCTACGTAAAGCATTGTTAAGAGTGATGCCACAAACACAAATAAAGTCATTGTGCGAATATTAGTCGTGTTTAAAATTAAAGTTGCAACTTGGGAAGTGGTAATTAAAGTGTCACTAAAAAAATAAAAAGTTAGTACTACAATCTTGATTTGGCCAGTGTATTGAAACCTTGATGAGTAAGATACAAGAAATAATGTTGGAGTGATTTGATTAAAGATAGTAGATTAATGCAACTTACACAAAGTGTCATCAAATAATAATATCACATCTTTAATTAAGGATTCGGAAGGAATTGATTCGACAACATGATGGGACTAAAATTTCTAAAGTGCCAAGTACGTCCAAAAATCCATAGAATAATTGGCACATGCACGAAGAAGTAATTAAAAAAAGATACACTTGTGTATCAATGTGGACCGACTATAATTACACCAACAAGCATGAGTCATCTAGAAGTCCAGCTTATCTACAAATGGTGGAGGAAAACTTGGACAGAAAGTAAAGCCAACTACAAAACAAATAAAACCCAATATATTATATCGTGTCATGCAATATATAAACACATGTTAACCCTTTTAAAAAAAGGTGGAACTTTCCTCTTTTATAATCTATTAACGCGCGTGCATCTCATGATTGTCATCTAATTATTCTAAATGCCATGAGGATCATCTGATAATGGGGAGGGCCATCGTCCATGGGGTTGGGGTCTAGAGAATCACATGAAAATATTTTCACCATTTTACCGAGGAATACATATATGCAGCTTTTTATATAAGAATTTAGATTATATTAAATTATATAATTTAAATTATTAAATATATGAGAAATTCTTTTATTTTTTAAATTATTTTTTTCTTAAACAACCCTTATTTTCTAATTTAATAAAATTTAAATTATAAAGTAAAATTCTTTTCTCTATATACGTAGTTTTGAATAGGTGGAAAAAAATAATTGTTCATTTGAAACTTGGAAGTACTTGAGAAGAAACAATGCGTATTATTTATGGTGAACTCACCTCTTACATGGACAATATATAAAGGAGCTGATGATTGATGAAACTCTCATTCCACAAACTGACCGATGACGAAGTGGGAAAAAGATGAAATGGAGGATAGAAAATCTCGAAGGCTAAAGCCCAGACAAGCTTCCCACATCGACAGAAAAAACACACTTGGAAAAAGCTCAAGTTTAATTATAACTCCCTTACCCTCCAAAGTCCTACCTCATGTTTAATAATACTTCAAGAAAGATATGCATGATAATACATGAGATCATCTCATGTTTAAAAATACTTGCTATTTAGGCTTAATGACTATAGAATAAGCCAACTCCTTTGATATATGTAGCACCCGCAGTTTGATAAAGAAAGGCCATCCCTTAACGTCGCAATTATAGGTGATTAGCGATGAAATGATTTCCAGTGAACCCCATATAGGATCGGAACCCTGGTCAACAAGACAAGGATCGAAATCAGAAGTCTTTCCCTTGTTCTTGATTATGGGTACCAGAGGAGCCGTCCCGCTTGGCTGGAAATCTCACAGGCTCTTGCCGTGACTGTTGGGAGTACACCGATGAGGAAGATAATAATGCCGACGTAGAAACACTCGGAGAGTGAGATTGTTCCGGATTCAAGAGACTGGAAGTGTAAAAAGAGATATCCGCGTCGTTGTTACTTGATAGCAGTTGTGCGTACTGAAACAAGTGCGGGTAAGATTCCTGTGAAGTCCACGGTGAAGGCGATGGGATGTATGGCGCGGGATTTTGCTCGGGGAGTGAGGAGGTAGAATCTCCACCGCTAGCGGCAGGAACATAGCTGAGTTCCGTGTTGCCCTGGACTCGTTCTGGGAAGTTTAATTTGGCCTTCGTGCCTTTGAACTTGAGTGCTGCTTTATCGTATGCGAGAGCCGCCTCCTCCGCCGTGTCAAAAGTGCCGAGCCACACTCGTGCTGCTTTCTTGGGATCACGAATTTCCGCCGCCCATTTGCCCCACGGTCTTTGCCTCACTCCTCTGTAGTGCCGTCTCCTCGGATTCTCTTCAAACACGTCAAATACATCAGAATACATAAAATATTTGTTCATAATGCAATGCCACTACGTTCTTTCTCTTTCTTCTCTAATTTTTAAGACGGAGTTTTAGTACTTAATCAGAAATAAAAGAAATATCCCTAGATATTCAAATTAATGTTTTTAAGATAAAATACATTTTTCCCCAACTCTACTTTCTAAAATGGCAAATGAAAATATGATTTTTTTTATAAATTATTTAGTTTTGTTGTGAATATCTTGTCTTTAATCAGATTAAAAAAAATTAATTTTAAAATATATACAAATTAGTTTGAAGGCATTTTGACATCTAATATAAAAAATTAATGATTTAAATTGAAATATTAAGATGAGTAATCAAACGAAAAGTTATAGAAACTATTTATTCTGTTTCAAAATTATTGTAGTTCTATTTATTTATTTTTTAAAAATAATATAAATAAATATATAAATTATTTATAAATTTTTAATTTATATAAAAAATAAAAAAACAACTATTATTTTCAATAGAAAGAAGTACTCCTTATGAACTAAAATAATTGTAATTTTTTGACTTTTTAAAAAAAAAATTAAAAATTTGAAAACAATTCATGTATTTTTTTATATTAACCTTGAGGAAAAACTAAAAGATAAAAAAAGATAAAGAGATACTTTTTGTGATAGAATAATTAATTAAAATAAATAAATAAGAATAAGTTAAAGTAAAAAAATATTTGTCTAACTTCAAAAATGAAAGACGACAATTAATTTAAAATAAACCCAAAATAAAAAAAATAAAAGTTATTTTGAGATTGAAAGAGTAGTAATTAATAATTTAATAATAGTATCCAATTTATGGATGCAATGATTATTCCACTCCCTTCTTCTTAAAATAATTGTCATTTTTTTATATGTCCTAAATTAATTATTTTTATTTTTTAAGGTAAATAAATATTTTTTATTTTAACCTTATCATTATTTATTATCTATTTATTTTAATTAATCATCCCTATCACAAAAGATCTATCCTTATCTATTTTTCTTTTTTAAGAGTAACATAAATAAATACAGAAATTATCATTAAATCTTTAATTTTAAAAAAAATTAAAAATTACAGATATTTTAGGCTAAAGAGATTAATATTTTAGGCGTATAATGTTCAAATTTAAATGTCTTAAATTTCAAACATAAAAACAAGTCTTAAATTCAAACTCATTAGGTTACCCCCACGTCTATTTCCTCTGTTATTATTTCATTGTATCATTTTAAACTGGCACAATTATAAAGAAATCTTACTGATTTGATTCATTAAATATTTAAAAAGACTTCTTATTTTGTAATCTAAACGCAAAACAAGAATTATTAAATGGAAAAGAATCTCTAATATCAAGAGCCTACCTTATCTAATTGTTTATCTAATAATTAATGTTGTACAATTTAAAAATTTAACCTATATAATACTTTTTTTATTTAAAAATACAATAATTAATTTTAAAAAAAAATTGAAATGAAAGTAAAAAAATTAAATAACAAAAGTTTCTTTCCTCTCCTTCCCTCTAAATTTTTTTTATACAAATAAAGGAAGATCCCCTCTTCTCCATCCATTTCTTCAAACATAACATGTCCTAAACATTATAATTATTGAATATCGACTCAACTAAACCCTGTTTCATTAATTTTATATGGCATGCGGTTTTCCCATGCACTCACGAGCTAAATTTAAGGTAACTAGGATTTTTCTTTCTTTCTTTCCCCCCCTTTTTTTAACGGCAAGTAAGCTAGCTAGCTATCTAGGGAGTTTGTGTAGGGCCTTGAATATGATGAGAAGCGATGCCCCTATAGCTGTTGTAAAATAGTTAGTTTAGCAATTTTCAGCTCCAAAGTTTGTGGTTCTATGTTCTCCTAATTAACCCTTGTGACAACCGACAAGCATCTATATGTATTCCTTTAAGGAAAAGCTAAAATTTAAAGCCAAATTAAAGTACACTTCTTTTCATCAAGAGGCGTTTCCAAGAATTGATGAAGAGGAAACTCTGGACTACATCAACAAACCACACACGTCTCAATCATACATGAATGGAAAAAATGATTCATTTGCAATCTTAACTTTTAACAGTATCACAGTTATATGTAACATCAATGAAATAAATCAGGTACGTAAATCAATATACATTCATTAATATACCATGTAATTAATATGAGATTATTTCATAAAAAAAATTATTATAATGTTTTGGTTTAATTAAGATCAGCCTAGAGTTTTCTTCAACGATATATGCTTTACATTGATTTTTCCATACAACACTTTATCGAGAATATAAATTTATAATTTATAATTAATTTTTTTTACATATTTTTATTAATTTTAAGTACTATTTTATATATTTTTAATTATTTTTTTACATATTTTTATTATTTTTAATTATTATTTTATATATTTTTAAAATAATAAAATAAAAAAACCTACAATTCTAATTATAACTACAGTACAAAATAATACATTATAATCTAATATAATATAATACTAACAAATATATTATATTGTACAATACAATACAATACAAAACATTACTAATCACCAAATGTAGCCTGTATGTATCAATTTCACATCAATCCGTTAGTTCAATGATAAAAGCTATAGGAGCAAACAAGATAGAAGGAGAACTTATCCGGTAACTAGGCATTGAATTATAACATGGAAAAAAACGATTTTCTGTATACCAATCCCATAAAACGTCTCCCTTTAAGAATTCCTTGCGTGGACTCAATAAATACAAAATCCTTTTTCAGACAAGATAGACAACGAAAAAGGAGAAAGAAAATTAGATCACGGAAGGTGCAAGAATTCATTGAACTTGTCCTAACCCTAAGCAACTCTGATTTCTTTCCATCATTAAATTCTGACCAAAAGATAAACAAAAGACAGGAAAAGAAGAAAGTAAGAAAAAGACAAAATTTGAATCAAGACACATTCTTATGATCAAGAAGATAGATATAAACGCAGGAAAAAAAGAGGGAACACTAGGAATTTATTTGGTTGGGAATTGCTATTAGTATTTATTGTCTTACTTTTTTAATTTAAAGTATTTAAATTTAGTTATTTAAAAAAAATATTATTTAATGTATTCATTTATATTTATCTTTATTTTAAGAAAATAATTATGAGATATATTAGTACAAAATATGCATATTAATTGTAAATTGGATATGCAGACTTCAATATGAGGCTCATTCAATTTAAGATAAAGTAATCTTACTTGCATTTAATTCACATATCTTTTAAATATTTTTTTTACTTAACATACCCTCGCCAGGTGCAGACTCTTTATTAACTTCAAATGTTATCACATGGATCTTAGGTTGCAGACTGAAGAGACTCTTTTCAAGAGCAAGTTCAATCTGTCAAATGGATCTCAAGCTAACAAATGAGATTGATATGCCATCACCTTCATGGAATCTCGAGCTTCTAAGAAACAGAGCTTAACTCTGATATCATATGAAAATTAGGTATATGAGTTTCAATATAAAGTTTATATGCAATCTAAAATCAATTGGTAATAAATTAAATTGTATTTAACTCAGATATTTTTTAATATTTTTTTAGTGTAAAACTTTTCCACTTAACATTTACATTGTACTAAATTAAGAATAAATATAAAATTTTATCAATTAATTATTACATTTCAATTTTATTGATAAAAAAACCTAAACCAACTAAAATTTAAGAGAACTTTAAGAGAGAGAGTAATACTCTTCTAAACTCTTTTTTTATATATTCTCTTTTGTTCCTGGAAAAAGAAAATACCATATATTATCTTCGTTATTGGGACATAAGACACAGCTTCATTGTGATTGATAATACTTTATAATCATTACTAACTATTAATAAATTACTTATCATGAGAGCTAATAACAAAAAGTGTTCAGAAGACTGTTTTTAGCATTCCTCTATTTGGTTTAGAGGTTTAGAAGAATGAAGAATTCATGGTTACCAAAACAAACAAAATAAATGGTGTTTTTGGATTGTGGCGTATGAGGGAAAAGAAAGGACAAAAAAGGAATAGAATCCAATTAAATGAAGGTTGATATTGTTCCTTCCTTCATTCCATGGAAGAAAGTCCAATCTTTTTCTTTTCTTTTCTCTCAATCCACAAAACGTTATAATTTACAAGGCTGATCATCTTCATTTTAATTAAATTAAGAAATGAGCAAAGAATAATTATTCGCGAAGTGGTAATAACTTTTTTGTCGTTTAGAAGACGAAGATCGATATATCGTATTCCCTATATTGTTTTTTACGATTGGACTAAAAAGATCGATATACCATCATGTTTAATTGTGATGGTATATAAGCGAAATAATCAACAACTACTATAATAATTAGAACTTTAATTATACATATGAAACTTCCAACCCGACTCATTTCAATCATTACTTGAACCAAACATGAGCTTTAAGATTAATAAACTCTTAATCTAATCTAGCCACCAGCATAAAAGGCAAGAATTGGACTTATTTTTATTATCTATCTAGCACGTGTAAGAATTACATTTAACATAAAGTCAATTCAGTTTAGGCAGTACCTTGATCTTGTGGTGCAGGTTGAGAGGCGTCTGGTGGCGGTTCTTCTTTTACAGCTGCCACTTGTTTGTCGTCTCCGCCGCTTCCCGTGGGTTGAGATAGACCTGAGACTACTGCCGATATGTCCGCAAAATCGGACTGAGGGTACGGGTAGTAACCAGGAGGAAAGGTGGCGGCACCGTATTGTCTGTCTTTCTCCTCCGATGTTTCCGGTGGAAGCGGCCGCTTTCCATGCCTTCGATCCACCGTTTCGAGATTGGAAGTGGAGCTAAAGTTATATTTTTGTAGTTGTGTGATGGCAGTGCGGTCGGTGGCGGTACTAGTGCATGGAGTGATATTTGTGAAGGTTTTTCGGCTGCAAAGAGGGGTTTGTCGGCGGAGATGCAGGCCGCAGGACGGCGGTGGATCGGAAGTGAGGTTTTTATGTTCGGAGGAGGAGTCTAGATGGGGAAATAAAATAGGGTTAGGGGAGGGAAGTAATGATTATTAGGTTCTTGTATTTTTTTTATTTAAAAAAGAATTGTATCATATTGTACGTAAAAGGAAAAGTGCAATTTAATTTATAAATTTATTAAAGTATTTTTAATATTATTATTTTTATACTATTTAATTAATAATAATTA